ATCCTGACCGACGGATGGATGGTCGGTCACCCACGGCGGCTGCCTTCCGTTGCCCGCGCTGCCATGCTGCCCTCTCTCCGCTGCTCAGACCGGCTCCCACTCGCTCTCTCCGTCACGCTCTCTCACTCGCTTGCCCAGCATCGGCTTATTAAATATTCCTCCCCTCACCCCACCTCAGCTCATTGGCCAGAGGACAAAAGAGAAGAAGAAAAAAAAAAAACTAAGTGAAGACAGCTCTGCAGGCTTTGAAAAGCCGAGGGGCTCGAATAAAACCTCAGTCAATCAGCAAGCCCAAGAGGCCAGGCTGAAATCTGCTGATAAGAGAAGGAGCGGCTCGAGTGGGTCTGTGTGCGTGGGTGTGTGTGTGTGTGTGTGTGTGTGGGTGTGTGTGTGGGTGTGTGTGTGAGCGCGCAAGCGCAGTCAGAAATATCATCAGCTATATTAAACTGCTGAGAGCTGTCTGTCTCCATAGCTCGGTGCTGTGGATGTATCTGAGCTGTGTTAGCTTGCCCCTGACATGGTAAGTTATAACAACATGAACAGGCTTTATTAAAAAAAAAATTTTAAATCAGGACACCCATTTCAAATAATAAAAAAACCCATTTGAATAACAGACGAACAAACTGCGCTGTAAGTCCTTCTGCCAGCCTGCACATGCTCTTCTGCCAATCCCCAAATGCTGCGAGAACGAGAGAAGGACCCGAAAGCCCCCCCAAATCGGAGCACTGACCCAAGCCCTGAAATACGCCTTCTCCTGAGAGCGGGGGCCAATCAGAACTGCATTACGCATCAGGACGCACACATACTGCTCTGTATAGCACAGAACCAAGCAGTTAACCTGACTGAATTCTCCAACCCTGTCTGAAATAACACCCACTGGCTGGGTCCAGGGGCAAAAAGCCTGGCTGACCTTCTGCTGGAGGAAGTCCACACCACACGGGGCTGCTCCTTAGCGACCTCCTCCCGGAGCTCGGATTGCCTGCTCCGGCTCTCAGCGGGTCCCACAACATGTATGCTTGTTGTTTGCAGTTATAATGTAATAATCACTTTACACGACCATCGCATGCAGGGTTTCCCAAGCCGGTCCTCAGGGACCCCAGACAGTCCCTGAGGGAGCGAGAATGTGGACTGTCGGGGGGGGGGGAGCAAAAACATGCACCATCTGTGGGTGCCTGAGCGGCGGCTTGGGAAACACTGCTTTAGAGAACTTTGCTCGAGCCCCCACCTACTGCTCACATGACTCAGACAAAGCCCGCCCCCCCCAGAGGATTTAAAAATTCTGATAAACAAGGGACAAGCCCTTATATTAAGAACAGCAAACTAAAAACCCATAAACACAGAGAAAGACAGGAGAAGAGAAGCCATTCTCCATACATCCTCAGCGCCGCCCCGATTGGCTTCCTTCTCCAGCCAGCTGACATAATCTGGTCCCATGGAGGAAATTAGCCCAAATCAAGGCCACCCAGGATTCACTATTATAGGCATCCAAGTGCACTGAGCCCATGAAAGATCAACCACAACATCCAGATGCTGTCTTGCGTCATCAATCCAGCTCAGCCACATACGCAGAAGCTGCGAAGGGGGCCGGCAACGGCGCCAGCAGCGGTCCAGAAGGCCGAGACGGACGCCTCTAAGAGCGAGTGGTGCGGAGAAGGGCTGGGCTGGTTGTACTGCAGGTGGCCGGGGTCTTACCTGACCCTGCCCAAGGTCCCCGTGTCAGAAGCCTCTCCACCCGTCAGCTGCTGAAGTTTTGTTCGTTCCAAGTGCTCCATATAGTTGTGGATCATCTGGAACAGATGGAAGGAAATACAGTTCAGTCTATGGACCAGCATAAGCCTTAAAAGCACTGCTCAATGGAGGAGTTCTGTGAAAACCTTTCTGGCACTTCCTATTGATTCTGTATCAACGTCCGACCCCGTTAAGTTCTCCGGGGTAAGTTCTCCTGCGGAGCTGAACCTCAAACAATGGAGAGGAGAGCTGGCACATTCTGCTGAACGACCCCTGAATGGTCCTTTTCTGCAATGGAGTGTTGCAGTTGGGGTGTGGTCTGCTCAGATCCAACACACATAGAGACAGGGGTACTTTAAGAGCTTAGTCTGACGCACTGAACCAGAAACTTTGTTTGAAAGAATTGGGTCAGCTTCCCAACTGCCTGGAACACAGTCTCAGAGATTCCTCTTCTTTGAGAAACAGCAAATTTGATCCACGTTGTGTATAAATAGCAAAGAGTTGGCCTGAGGGGTCAGATGGATCGAAGCGTAGCAATCTGAAGCTTTGATGAAATGACACAGGCGTGGCCAAAGGTCTTGGTACTCTTCCACTTTTAAAAAACAGAATCTCAGTTTTCTGTGAAATAAGTTGAAACTGAGAAAAATAATTGGTAACCATCGTGATTCATTCCATATTCCATAGGACAGAAACCCAGTTTTTGATTTATGACTTATTGTATTACTGAAACAATTGAAAATGTCATGGACAAAATTATTGACGCCCCTAGCCAAATATTTTCTAGCATACCTATTTGAGGCAATAACTGTAGTCACAAGCTTTCAGGGTGCTCTACTACTCTTAGAAGTATGTTTTGGGTCATTATCCTGCTAGAAGACCCATGACCTGCAACAGAGACACAGCTGTCCAACACTGGGCAGTAGGGCTGTGCGATTCTGGGTAAAATCAGAGTTACTGACAGTTAATTGAGAAATAAACAATGTTATTGCTCAAACCGGGATTGGAAAACTTTCCTCCTCCTTACCATCACACCATCAAGTTGGAAGCATTTTATTCTCATTGTTTGAAGCTTCTATTCCACCACCTTATAACACATATTAGATTTGTTTTCAAATGTGCCTCCTCTCCCTGTGCAAGTTCATCTCACCGTGACGCAGTACTGTCATGTGTCGATACAGATTAGGGAGGGAAAAGGTGCTCTTGGTTTGATGCAATGGATCTCTGCGCTATTACAAACACAGCAGAATGATTTTCATGTAAGAATGAATAAGGATATGAATAGTAGGGGTGAGGAGGAAAAAAAATAAAAAAGATTTGATTAATCACAATCCTGTTTTTGACGATTCGATAGAACATGGGATTTTGTGACTTATCTAGTTAATTTACGCATTTTCCCTGTGACTTTGTGGATATTTTCACTGAATTTTCCACGTGTCGCTCCACTTTTCATATAGGTGGCGCTACTTTCTCTCTAATCTACAGGAAGGTTGCAACAGTATTGTGCAATCATGCCACAATCTTGATGCATTGTCAGTCATGGTAGAGCAGTACTCCAAGCACATGAATGTAAGAAAGTCAAGTCAGGCTTTATTTTCACACGTCATATTCAGTACACTGCTTACAGTGGCACAAAATAATGTAATATAAAACCAAAATTTAAAGAAATAAAAGCAAACGGTGTAAAGAGAAAATGGATATTATTGGATGTGACCTGCTGTCAGTTATGAGAATATTGGTAATTATCTGTTTTTTTCAAATGGTGTGGGTAACACTGAAGCAAATTGAAGCAACAAAGTCTGCAGAATTTATTTCTGGCTGGGTACATGAATTGCAGAGAAAAAATGTGCAGACAAAATAGTTCAGTGTATTCACAGGTATGTACAGTCATGGCCAAAAGTTCTGAGAATGACACAAGTATTGGTTTTCATAAAGCTTGCAGCTTCAGCGTTTGTAGATCTTTTTGTCAGATGTTTCTATGGTACACTGAAGTATAATTACAAGCATTTCATAAGCGTCAAAGGCTTTTATTGACAAAAACATTAAGTGTATGCAAAGAGTCAATATTTGCAGTGTTGCACCTTCTTTTTCAAGACCTCTGCCTTCAAGACCTCTACCATTTCCTTGCCTGTGAAGCCCTTTTTGTGCAAAGCAATGATGACTGCATGTGTTTCCTTGCAGGTAACCATGGTTACCAGAGGAAGACCAATCCTTTTGTGGCAGAGCTGAAATGCAGTGGAAGAGGTTTTTTTTGGGATTAAAGTTGATTTTCATGGCAAAGAGGGACTTTGCAATAAAATGCAATTCATCTGATCACTCCTCATAACATTCTGGAGTATATGACATTTGCCATCATAAAAACTGAGGCAGCAGACTTTGTGAATATAAATTTTTGTGTCATTCTCAAAACTATTGGCCACGGCTGTACAAGAATAAATTTTATGCTTATTACATATTGTTTTGGTATACTATTGTTTTCGTTATCTTATTTTCGCTAACTTAATTATGTTGCTTAGCAGTGTTGTCACTATAGTGCTGTGCCACTTTATCCAGTGAACATTGCCCACACTGCACCTTCTCCAACAGCTGGTTTATATCTGCCGTATTACTACATCTGATATATTAATTATTTCTACAGTCTTCACCGTACCTGATCTATTGTGAGGGTACTCCTATATATATTTGCACCTCAGTCCAATGGAGCATTATTTCATGCCACTGTATGCTGCGGATTGTATATAGATGACATGACAAAGAACCACTTGATTTGATTCCACTTCAAGGATGCCTTGATACTCTTTTCATTGCACTGTGCTTCACAGTAGGGTTGGTGTTCATTTGTTTGAAATCATTTTGTCTTCTGTGAACATCTCAGCTACTGTCACTTAAGAAAAGCCTCTAATTTTGTTTAATCCCTCCCAAAGGATATTCCTCCCCGAAGGACTGCACCTTGTCAACATGCATTTTCATCCGGCTACAGTTTACAGTTAGGCTTTTTTTGTGTCAGTGGTTTAGAAGTGGGGTCTTCCTGGGTCTTCTACCACTGAACCAACTTTCATTCCGACAGCAACTGATGGTGATACAGTTGTACTTTGATCCTGAAGTTCTCCTTGAATCTTTTGCCATCATTTAAAACTATCCCTCTGTTCAATCTGGGGTAAATTTTCCTCTTGCAGCCACATCCAGGGAAGTTGCCTCCAGTCCCATGGACCTTAAACTTCTTGATATTAGCAACCGAGGTCACAGGAACATGAAGTCTATTCCATGACCATTCCTAGCTATTACATTCTTCCTTTCTACCACAGACCACCCTCTGCCTTTTCTCCTCTTGTCCATGTTCAGTGTGATGCAGACAAACGGCGGAGTACTTAACTCCGTTCAAGAAGGCTGAGAAGCTTTCATTTATTTAAAATTATTTTATTTGTATTTAAGTGCCTTAGTGGCTGTGCCCCTCCTTATTTAGCAGAACTGCTTCACCCATATGCTTCACCTCGATCACTTCGATCAGCAGACCACCTGCTTCTGTCCGTACCAAAGGCAAATCGTAAACTAAGGGGTGATAGAGCTTTTGCGGTAGTTGCACTAAAACTCTGGAATGATTTGCCATTGCATGTGAGGCAAGCGCCATCTCTTGTTGTTTTTAAGTCTCGCTTAAAAACCCATTTTTACTCTATGGCTTTCGGTCCAGTGTGTTGTGGTGATAGACCTCATCCTTTCCTTTTTTCTTTCGTGTCTGATTATTCTTTTGCATTTATTTGTTTTTGTGTTTTTTTGGTTGTGTTTATATTTGTGTGTTATATGATGTACAGCACTTTGGTCAGTCAAGTGGTTGTTTTTATAAGTGCCTTATAAATAAATTGGTATCGGTACAATAAGTTACAATAAGCTATAAATTTAAAAAGAAAAGTGTCTTCTCTATGCAATATATGGATGCCAATTACTTACATAATGAAAAATTGATTCTTTTTTTAAAAAAAAAAAAAAAGTGGAAGGACACCAATACCTTTGGCCGGCTCCATATTTGTGCTCTTTTAACATATCATTATAACCATCTGAGTGCCAGTAGATGCAACAGTATTATGGGTCAGTTTGAGTCGTACAATTCACAGATTCCAAAGGCAGAACATAAGTGTCTTTGTCCTCCAGAATGAAAAGGTCTCAGTCATCAAAGGTATTTGGCCTTGGTGCCGTACAAAGGCCTCCAACAAACATGCTGCCATTTGCCTGCTGTGATAAATAGTGCTTCACCAATCAGAATGTATGCTACATCTTCCTCAGTATAGATATGTTATGTGCTACAACAGCCTATAGATGGTATGCACATGATGTCACAGCAGGTGGAAGTCACTACGCTTATACCTACCGAGTGGCAAAAAGACTGAGTGACAGTGTTAGCATTCAGCTTTGATGCCGCGAACATCCCTCTAAAACAGGAAAGAGGTGTTGTGTATGGCTGCTGTAGTTGTGTGACTGATTGTGCAAACCGACATAACATGAATTTGGAGCTCACTTTTTACATAGTGCTGAAAACTAAAGAAAAGAACCGAATGCATCTCTACAATCCGCAGCAGCAACTGGAATCCAAACTCCGAGACACGGATTTGCGGTTGTCATTTCATATTAGTTATGTTCGATTTTTTTGTTATAAACCATATCGACCACTCAATTAAATATTTAGCAGCATTCATAAATATTATATGAAACTGTACAGTTTTTGTCAGCATTTATTAAAACAAAATCAGTGTGTTCTACATACAAAGTGGGGAATGGTCAGGGAGGGTTAGGTAGGGTTAGGTAGCCAAGGCAAACCCAGGGACTACTGCAAAAAGAAAGTTTAGACAGATCAAACGTTTCTACAAAACATATCGTCAGGAAACCTGATTGCTGGCCATATATAAATGTCCACAGTCCTCTGGTCCTTTGGTAAGTTAGACGGACCCCTGTTGAGTTCAACTGATTAAGCAGGTAGGTTTGTTTCCCCGACTAAAATTTGCCATGTTGCAGCGTGTTTTGCTACTCAGTCCATGTGAGGCGGCATGTTCGGGGGGGGGGAAGTGACATCAATGCACACCCCCTATCTGCTGAGAGAAATGTTTATTGCACTAGTGTGTGTGTGTGTGTGTGTGTGTGTGTGTGTGTGTAATTCGGATGAGTTTGCTCCTGCAGACCAACGACATGCAGGCAGCCACATTGCTGTCCCTGTGGTATGTGAGGCTCAGCCAGTAAAACTGATGCCTCAGACCTGCAGGACTGGGAGTATGAATCGCATATCCGCTGTCTGTATGTCGAGTTGACGCACAGGATTCCTCCAGGTACTTTGGCTTCATGACATGCGGTCAGGCAAACTGGCATCTCTGAACTGGTTAGAATATGACTGTGTGGGCATATGTGTGCCCTGTGATGGACTGGCTTTCCCTCCAAGATGAACCCCAACCTTGAGCCCAATGTTGCCTGGGAGCCTGCAGGGAGCCTGCAGGCAACCCCCCCCCCCCCCACCCCCCACCACCAGAACGGGTGGATGGACCCATAAGCACTCAGGAGGGCTGCAGGGGCACATAAGCGTATCTGCGTGACTCCTAACACCCCCCCCCCTTACCTCCGTGTGCCTCTGATGGAGGGCGTTGTACTCCTTCCTGAGCTCAGTCTCTCGCTCCTCCAGCCTGCTGACTGAAAGAAGGGCAGTTGGTTGGCAGGTTGGCATGGCGTGGTTAATGTGGCACAGTCAGAAACCCCAGGTGCCCTGACAAAATGTCACCTTGCCCCCCCCCCCCACCTAATTTTATACATTACTGTACATATTCAAGGCCACCTGCAACATGCTGGGCCCCCAGAATCTGCCAGGGTATCCATGCCTTGCCTGTACCCCTGGGCATGACTGACGCAACACGACCAGTTTGGACACAACAGTCCGCTGGGACAAACCAGTACATATCTGGCTAAAACATAAGCACCCATTGAAGTACCTAGCTACACAGAGAAGGGTATTTTGATACCAGAAATCTCAATGAAATCTGTGGCGAGTAGCAAATTAACCAACATGAGTAACGGTTTACAGTCTTATGAAAAGTTTTTAAATGTTGCATAAAATCCACAAACTGCAATTAAAGCAAAAATAAATCAAAAATTATTGATTTATTGATTATAGGAATCCACATTCATATCTATATTATCTGCGATACTGGAAGGAAAGAGAGCCACTTAAAATAACTGCATATGTACTTGTAGCGGGAAATGTACTTTGAAGTGACCTGTTCTGTGGTGCAGCATCGGTAGCAAAAATAAATAGCGGATGTTTTATTTTAAAGCTACTGCCAGTTGCAGTAAGGCAGAGTGTCCACAAGATGTCCTCTGTACAACAGGACAAAAGTCTGCGCAACTCACCACCAACGCCAGCGGGGGATATAAAACGCAGGAAACCCGGTAATCTTTCAGCCGATTTCAAATGGGCTTGCTTTGGAGGTCACTGAACAGCATAATCCCTCTATTAGCCATGTGATTTAATCTAAGCCTAGTATGGCAAATACCTTACCCTTTGGCATAAACAAAAACTGAGAATGGCAATATATTTTCACTTAACTGCAAAAATAACCATTTAGCGCTAAAAAAAACAGTCTTTTCCAGAATTAGAGATTAACAGTTGCAAATAACACAGACTGCAAAGACTAACACAAAACCAAGTGTCATCGGTGTGGTTTTAAATGAGTAACAAACAGGAAATTGTCAGACTGTGATTAACTAGGCAAAATATGTACATAAGTGGGAGTGAACAGCGAACAAAACAGAGAAACCAATGAGCTAATAATTGCCTTCAGGAAACACTTCAGGGCCGTCGTACCGATCCTGAACTTTGTGGACTGGGGCATCGGACCATTCTTCGATAATACTGTTCGGTACATGCAGGCATGAATTCGGAGACTTTTCCCCCCGTGACATATTCAATGATTTTGAATGTTTAGTGACCGACGCCTGAACTGACCGATGTGGCGTCTCCAGAACGCCTCGGGTAGCTGTAAAAACTCACACATCGAAGCCCTGACTGTCCGCCGTCTCACAGCTGACGCATCCTGCTAATTAGCATTCAGCTCGACATGAATCACCTCTAACTGTGTTTGTAATTGAAATTAAGTTACTTCAGTCAAAATCCATTTTCATTCCATTATGTATGGCCACCCCCATACATGCGTGTATACAATACAATGTATAATATGCATTACACAGACAGGTGCCGCCCGATACATTTACCGTAAACAAATTATTTGAGTTTTGTCGGCTGATCCTTAGGACCTGGTACGATACCACGGCTGGTCATGCCACCATAAGCGGCACGGTAACCGGCAGCTTTGTTTACTCTACGTCGCACGCTGTTCCAGTGTCAGCAGACGTGTGCAGGCAACTGTTCATGGCAATTATCTCAGTGTTACTTAGAACAGTGTTTCCCAACCCAGGCCTCGGGGAACCCAGGACAGTCCACGTTTTTGCTCCCTCCCAGTTCCCAGTCAATCAGAAACACCGAATGCCTGGTACAGGACTACAGGTGCACTGGGAGCTGAGAGGTAGCAAAAACATGGACTGTCCGGGGTTCCCCGAGGACTGGGTTGGGAAACACTGACTTGGAAAACGGGAAAAGGTCCGATTGCAGTACTTGTTTGTATCTTAGTAGTTTAAGACACTCAACCTGCAACCAGTTATCAGAACCCAACCCTGTCATACGTTGAGGAGTGTGTGCTTGTGTTTATATATATATGAAAATACATTACAGTCTGTGTGTAAGCGTGGGCGATATGGCTAACGTGACATATAACATGTTTGGTTAGAACCACAATCCACACGCAATCTTTTTTATTTACAAACCAACCACACTGGAACACACTAATGATGATTAACCATTTAACGACTTAAGCAGCAACTATATGCTTACTAGAAACACTGCTTGTACCATTATAAAATAAACTCAGTTAATGGATGTAAAATATGAAATTATATATAAGGAACTGACTCATTATAGCAGAAGTGCTTCTTAGTTTTCTTTTAATACTGACGTTAAATACAAATGAATCACTTTGGTCAATAACTGCGCATTTCTAAACTCAGTTTTCAAGAAATACAAACAATAACCACATAAAACTAGTTGTGTTGCCACCTCTCATATGAACAGTATTTTCAAGTTTGGAAATTACATTATATTGGTCCACATGAGATTTCACAAACCCAAACCATTTCAACACCAGCAGAACCTTTTTCTGGAGGCAGTTCTTCCTACTCAGCCACACCGCAAACACGTTCATTCGACCACATAGCTGACCTGTCTATGGTCTGTGCGTTATTTACCGCATGACGCGTGCAATGTTTTTAGCAGCCCGATGTTAAAAGGTTTAAGAAAGATCAATTGAGTTTTTAGTTCAAGATCTAGTCACTAAGTTGAGGTCCATTGAGACAGATGACTGACAAAGTGAGATAAACAGACAGCGCTGAGACGTTATGCAGGCGTCGGGTGACAGGTGTTTGCCAGTTTCAGACTTGTAGCTGGCATTCATTGGAAGCTCAGCCAGGCCACATTTACTCCTAGTTTACAATCCTGCTGTGAAGGAGTCAAGTGCTGCATCATGTTTCTTACAATAACTCAGAAAAGCTCATCATGGATCCAACTGCAGTCAGTCACGATAAATTATCGTTACATTGCCCACCACTATACATACGAAATTACCAGGAAGCAAGGTGCATGGAACATTTAAACCTCCCCCCCCCCAGGGTCATGTGCAGCCTTAAGCTCACCAACTTTACATACAGTGGTTTCTGTGTTTGACCCAGTGAATTTAGCAATAGTTCCCAGACGCGACATTTCAGGTGCGTGATCAAGCAGGGATGACCAGCAGCTGTGGGCCTCTGCAGCACTCCGCTGTGACCTCACAGGGTGTTTTCCGGCGCTCCGTAATAGATACTGACATCAGCCGTTTATGCAACGTGGGTTGAAAAATGAGAAGTGGACCCGGGCATGGAAGAGGCCACAGGTCAAAGGGTGCACTGTGGCATGGGAAGCGCAGACCTAAGAGGATGGCTGCCACTGAAGCACCCTGCAGGGGGCAGGCCTGAGCAATAGGTGAGCAGGGAAGCTAATAAACACACGGGTACGCGTTCATGTTAGAGACTCTGCACATGCATGTCTCAGCACACGAGTCACTTTGTGAGTGTGGGTGTTTGTTTAGGGGTATCAGTGTGCGTCTCCCCAAACTAACATGGGCACTGCAAGCTACCGGCAACACCAGGCGCCCCTCACGAGTAACAGACCGGTGCCACGCGTGCGGATCTTCAAACCGCCACGCAATCCGCTTACATCTGACAGCGAGGACGGTCACGCACTGCTCATGTGGCAGAGCGGGGACGATCTGGCTGGAGAGCGGCACCTGGAAAGGCAGGCATGGGCATGGGCACGAGGGCACTCACTCTGGTCTGCATAGTTCTTGGATTTGAGCTCCAGCTGACGAGCCTGGGACTCCAGCGTCTCCACACGGACCTGCAGATCCTTCTTCTCCTGCTCCTGAGAGTCCTCAAACTCGATGAACCTCTGAGGGGAGAGAGATGGGCCTGGCGTCAGAGAGGGTCTCGTGCCTGGGCAGGGTGTACAGGTCAGACAGCGGGGCACAGATACGGATTCATATAACGATCTCTGTGCCACAGAGCTCAGCTGCGGCTATATTCTTAACAATACCAAAAGTTACACTGAAACTCGGGCTTCAAGATATTTCATGAGCACATGTACCCTTCAAATGTGCTGCTTTATAGTGGTCATGTGACATATAAAAAGCTGTACGAGGAAGCCAGATAAAACAATAACGACAATGCATAACCATTAGTAGTAAATAAGCTAAAACCAGCTGACCAATCAGCACTCGAGTAACAAGAAAGGTCCTTTTTCCAACTGTTGCTGTTCCAAGTAGCCAAAGCATTTTCCCGGAAGCCTGAGCTCTCTGCTTTATCCAGAGCTCAGGACAGGCATGTGAGCGTAAGACCGTGCTACACGGGGACCATGCTGGCTGATGGCCGGACGGGGTCAAAGGTCGGCAGCATGCGACAGAAGTGTTGCTTGTTACAGGGCAAGCTGAAAATGCCCAGACCCACAGCAAACCGCCGGGCCGACAGCGAATACTTTGTCAGTTACAGTCGGCGGATGTTACACAGACCCAACGCTAACTAGAGTACAGAGTGAGTACGGGTGGGTGCAGGGGGACAGGCCTCAGGAAGAGTGATACTGTGATGTGAGGAGAGACTAAGACTGGCTATTACAGTGAAAAACCGCCAGTGGAGAGCAGACCGCAGTGAGGAGACACACACACACACACACGCACACACACACACACACATCGATAAACAGAACAGAGATGCTTTATGCATCCCCACAGCAAAACTTTTTTCACCCATCTCATCTTGCGTCCAGTGAGACAAACAAATCAACAGGTGCGAGAAAGTTTACAGGTCAGCGCAGCGTCGAGCAGCCCCGCAGCAGTCAGGGGTTAAGGGCCTCGGCCAGGGGCCCAACAGGGGCAGTCTGTCGGCCCTGGGATTCGTACCGGCGACCTGACAACAGGCACGAGTGCCAACCCACAGAGCCACACACAACCCCCCCAGGAGCTGCGTTTTCCTAACAAAAAGTGTTTGTGGCTCAGAAACAGTTTAAAACAGGGAGATTAAAGCTAAAAAACAGTAAAAATTAAAGCTTAACACGGCCACACCCATGACTAACCAAAGTAACATTTAATTAATTAGTCATTAAAACACAAATTTGAAGACAGCTGTCAGTTTACGATGTATTTGTCACCTTCATGCCAAGTGCAAGTCTGAAAAAAAGGTAAAAAAAGAAGAAAAAAAAAACTCGCCCCCATGACCGAGGCAGGAGTGGGGAGGGGGGCTCGTCAGCCCTGCCCCCCCAGCCAAGGAGCAGGTCACCTGTGTCCTAGTGGCAGCTGCTCCTGGTGCCTTAGGACCTGCCCTAAAAACCAGCCAATTATTTATTCGGCTGCACGTTTTGCAGGCTATTTCTGCCGTGCACAGCCCACGCCGCCCCAGAACAGCGGCACAGGGCAGGTTATGATGAGCAGAGCAGCGTTCAGAAAGCTGTGCTTTGGTCCCCAAAGGCAGGTCGGGGACATGCTGCTGGCAGACAGTGACTGCAGAGCACCTGACCTTACACAGGCTCAGCGGACCTCGTGCAGAGTCGTGCAGAGTCGTGCAGCGGACAGCCAGGGAACAAACTGAAATCTCCAAGTTCATCAGCAAATGGGGGATAGATTTTCACTCCCGGTGTGAAGTGAGCTGAATTCCACGGGGAAGAAGCATAACCAGCACAAAACGCAATAAGAGCATCAGCGGCACTACAGCAGCCCCCAGAGCGATGGCTGGCTGCCAGGGTCTTCACTCGTATGTGTGCAGCCCCCTAATATCACGACTGCGGAGGGAGGAAGACGAAGAGGGAGCAGGACGAAGAGGGACAGGTAGCGACTCTAAAGAGCAGCAAGAGATTAAAGGATAATAAGGAGAGACACCTGTCAGGTCCGGGATGCTCAGGAGCTGTTAAGGGAATCAAGATCACTGAGAGTGTACACTGTGAATATGGCAGTGCCCCCAGGCACAAGCAGCAGCTCCGCGCCCCAGCCTCCCCCTCCGAGGGCCGCGACCCTCACCGCATCCCCACAGGCCAAGGCCCCGGGCCCCAGCCTCCCCCTCCGAGGGCCGCGACCCTCACCGCATCCCCACAGGCCAAGGCCCCGGGCCCCAGCCTCCCCCTCCGAGGGCCGCGACCCTCACCGCATCCCCACAGGCCAAGGCCCCGGGCCCCAGCCTCCCCCTCCGAGGGCCGCGACCCTCACCGCATCCCCACAGGCCAGTTAGTCACAATAAGCACAAATCTGAGGGGGACAAAAGGACAGGAGAGGAGTCACGAGGAGGTAAAGCCCACTGTGCCTCTGCAAGCATCTAAGCAGACAAAAATAAAAACTAAGCTAAAATGAGTTTGATAAACAAGTTCCTCCCTGTGCTGTTGAGCAAAAACATACAGAATGGAGAATACAGAGCGACCAAAACAAAGGTCCCCGTAATATGAGAGTAAGCAGGATAGAGGTTTCCTGTGCACAGGTGCTCTGCCACTCCAGGTCACAATACCCCGAAACGCCTGCGGATGGCGCACATGGAAAACGCAGGAGTCAGACTGGGGTGCAGGCTACTGTCCTGAGGGTACTCAGCAAAAACCAGCGGCCAACTCCAGCCCTTGTGATCAGCCCAGGCCTCAGCATGTGTCCTGCCCCCACCCCCCATGGCGGACGGGGCTCATATGACAGGCGCTCAGAGAAAAGAAAGTAGCAAGAAAGAGAAAAGCTGCCTTCTTAGTCTTCACAATGTTTGCATTGTGCGTCAGTAACTGCAGGAGATGTGCTGACCTCCACCCAAAAATAGAGAATTCAGCAGCCCCAAGGCGAACGCCGCTCCTGACACGAGACACCAAACAGTGATTTGTTTACCCGCCTGTAACATACATGCAGTTGCCTTTCATGATGTTTTGAGCTGAGGCAGCCCAGCTCCTCCAAAGACAAGCTGGCAGAAGGTCCCAGGTGATGCCTTATAAAGTCCTGGGCAGACAGAGGAGGGACTCAGTCACCTTTCAGGGTCCAAAGCTTCCCCACAGCTAAACCGTCCTCACTTAACCTCTGGAACCAAAATGACAGTATAGCAGCAAGCGCTAGTTAACCTGCTAACACAGCACGAAAATGCTCAGACCGCTAGTTCAGCGGTACAACATTCTGATGCTTCACTTGCAAAATAACTGGTTCTCTCAAGGAACCATTCGGGACAAACTGCAAATAAGTGACTGGTAAGGAATGTGAGGTTATACTGACAGCGAGGGCAGAAAGCATCATCCCAGACATCAGAGGGACACGGGTGGCTGGACAGGAGAGAAGGCAGGGGAAGAGCTGAGGAAGCACTTCTGAGAAAAAGCGTGAAAATACGCTCAATATATATTAAAGCAGATTGCATTCAGTACCGAGGAGCAGGGGGCTGCGGGGAGCCAGTCTGCAGCTTCAGGCACAAAGGCACGGGTCTGTGGCGCGTCTCCCAAGGAAGCCACGTTCCGAAGGAGAAGATGAGCAGAAGATGGGAGGGGAGAAATCAAGCAAACAGCCAGCGGCTGGTCTGGCACGTTCCAGGACCCTGAACTGCTGGCTGGTGACCCACGGCGAAAAGACCCCCAGCTTCATGGAATTTAATATATAAAAACAGTGAGAGAAGAAAGGAGGGGGTGGTCCAACGAAGGCCCACAGAACAGCGTCACTGAATTCAGAATCAGGCCCTTAGTCACCGGAGGGAGGAGGGAAGCCACCCAGCCCAGCAGCCTGGGTACATCAGAGAAAGGAGCGGCACTGCATGTGGAGTTACATCGGGTATGTGAGACAGGGCCCTGCAAGGCTGCCCCCTACAGGACGAGGTGGCACGCACACAGGGCCATGCCCCAGTAACAAAAAACAGCAGAGGAAGGCCACAACCTACTCATGAAAACACGCGTGAAAGAAGAAAGAAAAAAAAACAGAACATGAAAACACATCAAGCCGCATGAAGCATCATCAGCAAGTGCTTCCTAAGCAGCCAATCAGATTAGCAGCTCTGAGTCCTTCTCACATGACCCCAATTAGTCACGCACTCCAACAAACGCGAGAAGAAAATGAAAACGCTTTCATTTAGCGCCGATGCGACGCCAGTGGGGTTTACAGCAGGGTGAGCCATGAACGCAAAGGGGATGTCATGCGCTACAGAAGCACCCCCCACCCCCACGACACGGGGCCTTTGGGAGACTCCCGGAGGATGCGAGGGTTTCTGGTGACAGAGCAAATCACATTTTTTCCATGAACATTTCTGACTACACCCACTTCCTCCCAGTGTCTGGAAAGACACGCACGTCTCCTATAAAAGGAGGGAAGTACTACGCTTCCGGTCAAGAGCTGCGATCTGTTATCTCGCTCCTGTTCTCTGGCCTAGGAAGCGGCGAGGAAAGGAGTTTTAAGCAAACGGACCTCCTCTTCTTCAGTGTATAATCAATCCCTTTTGACGTTTCCCTACTACTCATTTTAAGGCACTTCTAGCAAAAGTGGACTCAGAATACTGAATACTCGGGAATGTCTAGCAACTCCATCTAGTTTATCGGGCTGTTTGTCTATCTGTACCCCTTCCACGTGACGCTGTGTAGGAAGCCGTAACGGCAGGGCCCTGCTTGCCTTAAGAAAACATCAGGTACATTTTTTTAAAATCCAGGAAGCAGCCATGCACAAACTTTTAGCAAAACATCTTCGGAAACGCATCGTCACACCCAACGCAGAGGCACCGTCTTCCCCTCAACGTTCTGGGGTGAGTTTCCCGAAGCGTTCTTAACGCTACGTCGTTCTTAAGTTCTGTGTTAAAAGATAGAACTAACGAACGACGTAGCATTAAGGCGGCTTCGGGAAACTCGCCCCTGATCATTATGACTTTTAACTAAACTCTCTATATGCTACATTCTTTTGACTTCCTAGCTACATGGTTGTA